AACTAACTTGAATTTTTCATGAAACAGGCGATCCCATCATTGAGGCCGTCTCATTATCCCCTCAGAAAAAGCCCATAGAACCTCATTTATCACTGGCTTCATTTGGTACGGGTTTTTATGCTGGTGGTGGAGCATGGCCACCAGTCCCATCTCGTTCAGCCCTCTCCTCATCATCTCGTTTAGTTTTGGTTCATTTTTTTACTCTAGCTTCACTAATTTAAACCATCTAGCTACGAATTTTGACGATCTACCACCTAATTTCATTGGCGAGGGTCGTTTTTTGGTTTGCTCAAACTTTCCTCCTCGCCACATGCACACACACACACACATACACACACCATTCTAATCAAGCATGTAGGGACATTCTGAAAGGTTGTGATGAATGTGAATGACTATATGCCCTTTTGTCGATGCGTTTCTTTGTTTGCCGCATAACGAGGAGGGCAATAGAGTCAGTGTATCAATGATGGGTTAAAGAGGGGCTTGTGCTGACCACTCAATTAACTTGTGGCTCCATCCCGACGATGGGTTCTCTGCTCAGATTAGCCGCACCCTGCACTTTGCTCGTGTCCCATCTGCACCTCGTAGCGAGAGCCCCGTCAGCCCAGGACACCCTCTTGTCCCCCTGTCCTTCCAACTGCAAACGCCGATGGGCTGGCTCCAGAGCCGACACGATTTACAGGACAAAACAGGCCACTTCTTACGCTTTCCCTCCATCAGCATAGGCCACCAAGCTCAGCACTCGGCTGCATTGGCGTCATTGGTCAGCTGGTCGCAGGTACCAGGTTGTTGATGGGGCAAAGCGATGGTTGGCCAGACGGTGTGGTGTTGCAGTCACCGATTGCCAATCCGCCTAAGCCGACTTGAGTCGGAGACTTCATTTTGCCTCGCAGTTGGGCGAGAGGAATACGGGGAAAAGCAGATTTTGGGTGGGCAACACCACGTGGGACGGCATTCTACAAACGTGCTGTTGCGACCAACTGACTTGCAGTGCAAGCACTTTTGTCCCCTCAACCACGATCCCCGTTATAACGCCTGACATCGATGGGAGGCAACCATGACTCCGGATGAGCTGACTGATCGATGCTTCTATGGTTCCCTTAACTGGTGTATGATGTACCCTTTGTAACATCAAGATTTCGGTTGTTTCTTTTAAAAACGTGCCTAAGAGATACTTTTTTGTCAAGTCCTGTCTTAATCTATCTGCTCTTGAGAAATCCTTTGCGTGCTGTTGCGATTGAGCATACAGGTGAGCCCAAGACTGTGCATTTTAGTATTAGTATGGGTCTAGTCAGTTTTCTCCAAATATAACATTTTTGTGTTACCATATTTGAAGTTCACACATCCCGAGTGTGAGGCTGTGAGGCTGTAATGTAAGGTTTGGAGCACAATAGTGGCAACGGCCGCCAATGGCCGCTGTGTCTACCAAGAGGTGCTTGTAGCCTACATAAAAGGACCGGGTAACAACACCAACTTGACAACACTATTTTCTGCATCATAGTTCTTGCTTGCTAATATTCTCCAAGTTGCTTGGATCTATGGTACTTGAGCCTGCATGGCTATTAGCCGTACACTTCCTATCACACCATGGCTAGTATTTGTGTTTTCGCTTCGTATAGCAATGATCGAGTGGGGCATTTTCAGCTGTGCTCTGCCGATTATGCTTTGGTTCTCGTGTGTATCCATCTGAGCTTCGTAGTGACCCTGGTCCGGCCCATCTTTGAGTTAGGTTTAGGAGGATCTTCAGTCGTCTTTCGGTGAAGCTGGTTTACAAATAACCGCTTTATTCATTTTTACTCGATAGAGTGGGACCCAGTGTTCGGGCGTTTCTTTGCGGAACTTGTCTTTCGCGTGAAACGGATACAACACATTAATCTGCTTTTTTTCAGTTCTCCGTCTCTCCCGCACCTTGTAACGCTATTCAGGTTGCTATCCAGTGAAGCATTTCTTAGCGAAAGTGCCATTTTGAACAGGCCTTCGCTGGGTATGCGCTAAAACTGGATCGCTTTCAATTTTCAAATGTGAATGCTTACTGACGAGTGTTGTACTCGTTTAATTTTGTTGATCCCTAACTCAGGTACTTTTTCGTCTCAGTTGTTCCGAGTTCTTAACCACTTGAATATATTGTTAGGGGACCTTCATTTCGAATGAAAGTGCACGAAGAAGATATTTGTTGGTTGATCTCACCAGATGAGGATGGATGGACTCGCTTTACTGCAGCCGTTTGGCTCTTATACGATTCATCCGTCCTCATCTGGTGAGATCGACCAACGAATCTCTTCTTCATGCACTATCATTGGAAATGAAGGTCCCCCTAACAATATATTCAAGTGGTTAAGAACTCGGAACAACTGAGACGAAAAAGTACCTGAGTTAGGGATCAGCAAAATCAAACGAGTACAACACTCGTCAGTTAGCATTCACATTTGGAAGTTGAAAGCGGTCCAGTTTTTAGCGCATACCCAGCGGGGGCCTGTTCAGAATGGCTCTTTCGCTAAGAATTACTTAATGAGATAGCAACCTGAAGAGCATGTCAAGGTGCGGGAGAGACGAAGAACTGAAAAAAACAGATTAATTTGTTGTATCCGTTTTACGCGAAAGACAAGTTCCGCAAAGAAACGCCCGAACACTCTGCACCACCCTATCGAGTAAGAATGAATAAAACGGTTATTTGCAAACCGGCTTCACCGAAAGACGACTGAAGATCCCCCAAACAATGTTATCTCAAGAGATTCATCGAAACCAACTTTCTCTTCGTATCACTTGAATATAATCATCTGTTTAGCCAGGGGACTCATTTCTTGCGGAAGAGGTTGATCAAGAGACTCATAAGTTGGTCTCGCCAGCAGACTACAGTTGATCCTTTTGACTCTGAATTCTTTCTTTCTTATTATCATGTCCTGGCTGACGTAATCTGTGATACCTTCGGATTGCAATGGAAACGGGGCGAGTCTTCTTCTGTCTTGCCAATTGGCAGGCCGACGGCGTCTTCTTAAATGCTAAATATGTTCACAAGTGACAAGGACTGAATATATGCAGTTAGAGATACGAAGAGAAACTGGGTTGCGATGAATTTCCTGTGATAACATTGTTGGGGGGACTTTAATTTCGTATGAAAGTGCATGAAGAATAGATTCGTTTGTCGATCTCACCAGCAGAGGACGGATTAATCGCGTTGTACTGCAGCCGTTTGGCTTTTATGCGACGTTCAGTTTGACGCAGTCCACGAGACCTCGTAACTCGTTTCTTGTGAAAACATGCTGAGCTTTCGTCCATCATATGATGGACCTTATCAGAGCTGGGTCTCATTCCTGTAAATGTCTCACGTTAACACAAGGGCAAGAAGACTATCCGGCTCTATCTTACCTCTTATATAGACTCAATTAAGCAAAAGGAAATAGGGTCATTAGGTCTTGATGATCATAGCCTGGCATTATCCTTTTGATAACTATGATTAAGGACCGGTATTGTGTATAGACGCTAACACATACAGATACACACGCACACACGCTCGAGCAAAAGTAGCAGGACCAGTATGAAAGATAATTGGCCAAACCACTCTATCTCTTTATCAATGTTTATGATTTTCTTTTGCTTAATTGAGTCTATATAAGAGGTAAGATAGATCCGGATAGGTCTTCTTCGCCTAGTGTTAACGTGAGACTTACAGGAATGACACCCAGCTCTGATGATGGACGAAAGCTCGATCCGTTTTCACCCGAAACGAGAGGGGAGGTCTCGTGGACTGCATCAACCTGAAGGTTGTATAAAAGCCAACGGCTTCAGTAGAACGTAATTCAGCCGTCCTTATATGGTGAGACCGACCTACGAATCTCTTCATGCACTTTCATACGAAATAAAAGTCCAACAATATATACAGTTAAGTATAGAATTATTTGTAATTAGTTACTTTTAATGTTAATTCATGTAGGTTTATTGTATTGGTTTGATCTCATTTCCGCAAATGGTCGGAGCATCACGGAGGCAATGTGAAAGGTACCTAGTCCTGCGTCCTCTTCCATAGTATCCGTGATTTCCAACATTAGGCCATTGCCTGGCTACCTTCCCAAGCGTTTTGCCGGCATCGCCATAGCTAGCACCGAGTTACAAGTTATCAAAATGACAAGTGAAAGCAATTTACTATTCAACTTTTTTGGCATTACTTCTCGCTCCTACTTTTTGTCTACGTTCTAGTGCTTTTTCCCTCTTTCAACCCCACTTCATATAACCCATCTGCCTATACACACAATTATGTGCTATCGTTTTCTCTAATTTCGCCTAAAAGGGCGTCGCTACAAGTGAATTTATTGAGGCATAATCATCCTCACCACTCATTCCAGATTCCGTTAGCAGGGCTTTGTCTTTCAATTGGTCCCTGCTGCACATGAAAATCACTGTCTGTCGTTTACTTCATGTTCGAGTATTTAGAGCCAGTGATGCCCATGCTTAGGCATCTTCATCTCTACAGGCTTCAACCCATCACACATTTATCCTCTTTCTCATTCCCACCCACACTGCATCTCATTTTTGGAGTCAATTCTCCGGCCTATTTAGGAAACGTTGGTGTGAAAATATACCGCTTTCCTTTTTCACTTCTAAATTGCATAAAGTACATTCTTGTCTTTCAAGTTGTCAGTCCCATGTCTATATTGGTTGGTATCTCCTCAGTTGGGGTCAGGCATGCCATCAATCACCTCTCATTAAGGCACACATCCAATCCCTATGCTGCATTGCATCACTTCTTCTGGATATCCGTCTCCAAGAGACATCTCGGTTGGTTTTTCCAGTTCCTCCTCCCAGAACTCCGAATCAGTTAGCCGTAGGCTTCTTATGGCCATACTCCTGAGTATTCTCATCTCCATCCTTTAAGTCTGGATAGATTTGAAATTAAGGATTATACCTACATGCGATTTTTTATGAAACATGCACATTAATGTTTGTGTGTGTGTGTTTGAGGATATGAATGTAGTGTATAGAACCATGCACTTTAGTAAGAAATGAAAGTTACCACAAAATGGTATCTGAGGCGACTCCATATGGTGTCTCTGTATATTACGATCAGAGCGCCTCTTGTCACTTTCCTGGCAAAGATCGTGGCCTCGCTTGTCGAGTCCTCTGCTCAGAATTATTTTCCAGTACTAAAGAGCTATGCTCAAGACTTAACATTAATGCATACATATTTTGGCGCCTATTTCTACGTGGAGTTGGATTTCAATGCTGTATTCTGATTTAACCGTTAAGTTTCAGCCATTCCACTGAATGCTGATCTGGTTGATCTTCTGTTCTAACGTGAGGTTCTTTGGTGATTTTGCCTTTGTCCATTCGCCACTTGCCACCATGTACCTCCATGCACACACCATCCGCTAGTTGGGAAACTTACTAACTTAGTGCTGGCCTCTATCATCCCCATCCTCGGTGTCAAGCTCCTCTCGGTCGCCACCTTGACGATGGCCTGCGCGCCCATAATTGCCCCCTCGCCTTCGCCCTGGTTGACCGTAATCGCCATCCTAATCCCCCTTCCGCCTCGTCCCCCCTTTGGCTCAGCTTTATCTCTCACTTTTCGTAACTATGGCGCACGCGAGCTATTTGTAGGTACAACATCTTTTCGCCATGTAGCCAGGACTCCTGGTCCCAACTAATCTGTTATCGTCTCGACGGCCACCATAGACGGGAGTGTTGGTGACGACGCTGGTAGCAGGGCCGGTATCGTTGTCCGGATGAATAATTTAATAAGAAGGGTCACTTGCTTGGGCAGAGCAGCCGACTGACTGTCTGTTCTCAGGTCGTGTATCCGCGACAGACGTCGTCAGTGACGCCCTCGACTTCGTCCCACTTACGCCCGCCCCCTCACGGCTTTTCAGAGGCAAAGACCTCGGGTCATCCTGATGCCATGCCTTACAACCCCTCGGAACTTGTCGCCATTTCTCAGTTTGGCCCAATCGTCGCCAGCCGCCCCAGCCCAGGCCTGGGCGCGTGGCCCATGTTCTGTCGTCTCCGTTTGTCGACATTCGCTTCGCTTCTCTTTTAACAGGTCCACCAAACCGGACCGTCTTAAACGGGTCCGATTTTCTGTTTGTCGGAGGCTCAAGTCCCGTTAGAGGCGTCCTGTCTCGTCCCATTTTATCTTCTGATTGGACCCCCTAAGGTGTCCTGTCGGATCCATTAATGCCAATGCGTGTGCATGCGCCTCACTTCTGATTCCCATCTCCCCTTTTTCCCTCCTCCATCAACACACTGCAGTCCCTAATGAGGTTGGCACTTATTTTCACATCGAATAGCGCTTGCGATCACAAGTTGCCT